TTCTCTAGCCATTCTTAAGCTGCAAGGCAGCGCCATCTCTTCGCATTATAGGTAACCCACAATGTTAAGAATGGCTAGAGAAATTTCGACGCGGTCCGTGAGGGCCGTGGTAGCATAATTGGTCAGTGCATTCGCCCGGATTGCGAAGGGTGCGGGTTCGAGTCCCGTCTGCTGCCGGATCCGCGTGGCTTTATTTCTAGTTATATTTTCTTAAGATTTAAACATCAAGCAGTTACATGCTTAAAAAAATAAAATATAAATATTGATTATAATATTAGTAATTTATATTTGTTTTGAAACTTTCAATTCCATGTGTAAATATAACTTTTTAATATTATCTGCGGTTGTTATTTTTTTTTTTTATATTGGATTTACATAGGTTTATAAATTTAGACTAAGTAGTTTCAATAAGTTAAAAAAAAGTGAATATCAAGTACAAACAACGATATTATATATTTTTTGTGTAATGAAATATCAAATAATCTCTTTGTTTTGTTCTCTCTGCTTGTCTGCTGCCATCATGATTGTTATTTTATCACTAAGATTGTAAAGAAAATATTTGAAACTCATAGTGCCTTGTTGCAGTGCAAAAAGTTCACAAAGTTAATAATTAGGCCTTTAAATAATGCTGTCACCTTTGTTTGCTAAAGAGAAGACAGAGACAGCGTTAGTTTTAAACGAAGTCAACTTCATTCCACGTTCTGTAAGAAAGCTTATTACAAAAAAAAAATTTTTTTTCCTAAAAATATACATTATTTATTTTCTCACATACCATGACAACCATGTCATAGTAAAGGAAATTTTATTTAATATGTCAGTTAGATTACCAAAAAATAATGGACACCTAAAGATAATATTACTAGAAAAAATTCCACGCGGACCAGGCAGCAGACGGGACTCGAACTAGCACCCCTCGCTGTCTGGGCTATATATTTTCTAGTAATATTTATTTTAGTATTAAACATCGAGCTGTTACATGCTTAAAATATATACCTAATTCTACCTAACCTAACCAGGGGGCCATTCGCCTAACGGAAATGCTTTGGAAAACGCTAACGCTTTCGATTTAATTTTTTTATTTCCGACCACCGAAGGTTTTCAAATACCTCACGCTCATTTTTTTTTTAATATTGTTATTACCAATGCAATAGAAAAAAAGGAGCGCGAGGCATTTGAAAACCTCAGGCGCCTAGAAATAAAAAAAAATGGTTGCCTGTAAAGTCGGTTTTACGGGCGAAGATTTTACGTGACAACGTCTTTTTCTCGGTAGAATATTTATTGATATGAATATAATTAAATTGCACAATAGGAACAAGGAATTGAATGAAAATAAGAATTGCACAAATTTTAACTATAGAAATATATTTTGTTTACTAAAACATTGTACATGTAAACTTAAACTTAACACGAGAGACTCATCGTAACGTTACCGAGCGTTACACTTTTTCATAAGTGACTCCCAGCCGCAACCTAATTTAAGACGTTGTCACGTCAATAAGTGTCCTATGCTTTTTGATAATCTACCTGATAGGAAGAAAAAGTGCTTGTCGTCATCCCTCTATTGTAAACTAAGGGTCGTTTATTACAAAATGACACACATAACGGCATTCCTAAACTTTGTTTAACTAGTTTTTTATATAGTCATAATTTTTATTATATTAGCATTTGTAATGGAAAGTGACTTTATGAGTTACCTCATATTGAAGTCATTTTTCAATTTTACGATTCTGTATATAATACAGGGAGAAAAAAACAGCCCTGGCTGAGTTTCTTGCCGGTTCTTCTCAGTACAAGGTCTCCCGCCGTAGATTTGCGAACCGATGGCGTAGCTTTTCGACATTCACAAGTGCTTGTAACAGCCTAGACTGAATAAACGATATTGAATTTTGAATTTTTTGACAACTAAGTATTGACCTTTACTTGAGGACAGTTAGAAAGGGATGTCGCTCTATATAGCACATAGCGCCATCCCTTTCTCACTGTGCTCAAGTAAAGATCGACACTTAGTTGTCAATCTGTAATACGGGCCTAAGTAATTTAGTCCGATTAAATATTAAGTAAAGGCAAGACTCTCTTATCTTTATACATGACTGTAAGATATGTTTTAAATATAATTTGGTATATCGCATTTATCCACAATCTCTACTATGAGCAAAATGTAATCACCAAATCTTAATTAACGAAAACACGAGTAATGTTGTTATTGTTTTGTCAATATAAGGAAATATTTGTGTGATATTAATTAATTTTTACACGTGTCGAATCTCCTATCTACTGTTGTTTGTACAAACATGTTATAATAATGTATTTAAGTGATTAATTTCTTATTATTTTAACGCCGTACGTTAACTTTTGAGTTTCACCATAAAATTGTATGTACAATATGGTATAGAAGCGCATGAATTTAACACGAAATGAGAAATTGTTTTAATGGATTGTGCGTGTTATTTGAAACTATTTATTGCATTGAATTAATTGAAAAAAAAAAGCTGTTTAAAATAAATCATATATTATGCCTAATTATTGTCTATGATGTTTACGCATATTATTGTTTTTATGTTTAAAGATATTAATTAATCGAATCTATCCGAGTTGAGAGTATGAACTTTCTGAATAACTATTGATATTTTTAGGCTGTGCATTCCAAATTCAGTAGCACCTTTCTTGTTGTTGATTGGCGTTGTGAATTTTATTTATATTGTTGTAAAAATAAATTTGGAATTAATGTACAGTGAGATGCTGTAATTTTGGATCCATTTCATTGATCAAATCTTCAGTTAAATATGGAGCTAAAACATTAAGTTAAAATTAGACTTGCAACGAATAGTATATTCGGCAGTATACCGAATACTTACCCTTAGAGGCCCCTTACCGAATAGCTGAATATTAGGCAAAAGTATTCGGCTGGATTTTAGCGCCAAAAACTTGTACAGACGTGAGTCTGAATGAATTAAAAACTGTTAACTTGTTTAATACAGAAAATGATTAAATTATGAACCTGTTTTATGTACCAATAACTACTTAATAAATGATTATAAAAGAAATGAGAACCTTACCCTTCTAAGTTTTGATTACCACAATAATTCAAATGACATAGACAGAACAGACAGAAGATGATTATGTACCTGTGTTATGTACCAATGACTACTTGAATGATTATATAACAGAAATCATAATATGAATATATACATAATCAATCGATTTTAATTTTTCATTTTACCAATTATTTCTCTATGACAAAATATATTATTTAAGTATACGGTATTCAGCCGAATACCGAATAGTAACCGAATATTCGTTGCAAGTCTGGTTCTTAGTGATTAGTTAGGAAGCACTGTAAATTTTATGTTTTTCATTCAGTTGCCAATTCTAGTATTTCGATCAATGCCTGCCTGTTGTAATAGGTAACAGCTGTATGGTATATGGTATATAGATATTGTCTGGGTTAAACATGTTTAGTGAGATCCCAGTTAACACCCTTAGCTAGTTCAGATATATTCAAGTATTTCTTTAATCAGTTGAACATTTGGGAAGGAGGAAATGTCTTCCAATGATCTCAACTTGTATTTAACAAATACTTGAACGCAGAAGTTAACCAAATCCTTAATTTAACATTCCGAAATGGATTTTATGTACCTATTTGATTACGTGTGTAATGTTATATTTTTGTGAATATTAAAATAGCTTAAATTGAGTATTTTTCTTATTATTTCTCATTGTACCTTCCAAGTTTTCCCTGATGGTCAAAAATTTCTAGTCTAACTTGTAATTTTAGTTAATATATATACATATAACTAACTAATCAAACGACCTGAAAAATGTGTATGTAATGAAATTAACGTACGTAATAGTCAAATTTCGATACATCATCATCAGCCTATTAATGTCCCCACTGCTGGGGCACAGGCATTCCCTTTGGATGGAATAGGGACATTGGTCCATGACCCACCACGCGGGCCCGGTGCGGATTGGTGGGTGCTAACGACTGCAGATGCAGCCGGGACCAACGGCTTAACATGCCTTCCGAAGATCGAACGAGTTCAAGATGGTAAATTTTTGGTCACCCATTCAATGAGCGACCACTGCGAAAGTTGCTTAACTTTGTACTATTTGCGCTATCGAACTCCTCATATACCAACTCGGTCCTTGTTTAACTCAATACTCACCAGTATGTGTTCCCTTGCTACAATCTGGGGTCCTTTAGAAGAGGTGTAAAAAAGGATTTCAGCAGCCCAGCAAGGTGAGGATGGTTGGTGTGGCTGTTCAGAACGGCTGCACCAGCTATCTTCGCGTTTTGACTGACCACAACTTAACATCAGGCTTTACCCCATTAGAGTCATTTGCCTACCTAAATATATATAGAAATACTAGCAAACCCAGCGAACTCCGTTTCGCCACCAGATTTATGTAACATTTCGTTTTGTGATTAAAAGAAAACGATTTTTTTTTTAATTTTTCCTGAATTTTCTTTGCTATAAACCTCACGGAGCCCGAGACCTTTCCAACGAATGCAAAACCGTGGAAATCGGTTCGTGCGTTCTGGAGTTATAGCGTCAGGAAGGAAAACCCGACTTATTTTTATGCTATACACCCGGCGCGAAAATAACTTTCAGGCGTTATTATAACACACGCATTTACCTCTACCAAAATTGGTGTCATTTGAAAGCACATTAAATAATTCATTTCATTAAAAAAACTTGATACCACAAATGTGACTTACCTTTAGCGGGTATAAAAGGGTAATTACAGGTTCAATGGGAGTTATTCGCTACCCAACCGTTGAAGAGACACACGAGAAGATATTTCACAAAAAAAACACCTTAAAGATTGATACCACTGCTGATGAAGCCGCTCAAATGATTGCACTACTGCAATCACGGATGCGGCAGTGTGATGTCGATCGGCAACTGAACTTGAGCCGTTGTTCACCCTCGAATCCCCTTTACACCCTCCAATTCCCTTATCACCCTTCAATACCTTTTCACCCTCAAATCTCTTCACTCTTCACCTGCCAATCTCCTGTCCTGGAGACCGGTGATCATATCCGGAAGCACTGGTCTGGTTTACGTCGCTGCGCCTCGGAGAGAAACTACCGACTCATCGTATCGACATCTCTAAGAAATCGGTTATCTAATGCTGTCGAGTTGCAACACCAGCTCCAGGCAGAAGAACCATGAGCGTTTCTTCGGTTAGACGAAGACTGGGGGAGAAGAAGATAGCGGCTCATAGAGCTGCTACGGGTCCAAAATGAGTCCAGAGCATCGGCGAGCATTTTTTCACCCTCGAATCCTCTTTACACTCGACTCTCCAATTCCCTTATCACCCTTCAATACCTTTCCACCCTCTAATCCCTTTTTCACCTTCGAATCCGTTTCACCGTCGAATCCCTTTTTCACCCTCGAATCCCCTTTACACCCTCCAATTCCCTTATCACTCTTCAATACCTTTTCACCCCCAAATCCCTTTTCACTCTTCACCTACCAATCTCCTGTACTCATTTAGTAAAATGTTTTACCGCACGTTCCGTTGGATGGCTCGTAATTTTGAACTTTCGAACAATGTATGCAACCTTTCCAGTGTGTGTTGAAAAGGTACTTATCATATTTAATTGTAAATAGTTTATTTTAGGATTGTGAGACCACTAGAAGATAACTTACCATTCACTATTATAACATAAGAAAGCCTTGCGTCTTAAGTTTAAGACCAAAAACGTACATTTCTAAGTACATACTCAAAATTTAAATTATCTCAAGGTGAAAAAAAAAAACAGAAAAAAGGCGTAAAGCTTTATTCAAAATAAATAATTTCATTCCTTTTATTCACAAATATACATTTAATTTATAATACATTTTGAGGCAGTCGTTCAATAAGTTTTTATTGGCAAACGAGCATATGGCTATAGACGCTTGCGAAATCCCCTATCCCTGGAACCTTAATCATCAACAGAAATACAACACCATCAAAAGGCAGTGTTATTTCACTGTGGTCTGAGATGTTTAAATCTAAAGAAAATTTGACTAGAAAACATTCCACGCGGCTGGTCCGCGAGCAGCGAGACTCGAACCCGCAGCCTCCACTATCCGGGCGGATGCACTGCATTATGCTACTGCAGCCCTAACGACCGATCGATTATTTTCTAGTATTTCCTCTTTTTTCAGGAAGCATAATGGTCAATGCATCCACCCTGATAGCGGAGAGTCCCGTCTGCTACCTGGTCCGCGTGGAATTTATTAGTAAAATTTTCTTTAGATAAAAAAATGCATTGAGTTTTAAAATGTTGTTAATATCTCTTTCATGTCATGTTAAAAATTGAGATTTTAGAATTTGAGTCTTCGTGGGGCTCGATGGCACAATGGTTTGCGAGTTCGATTTGCGATGGTGGAAGTTACGGAACTTGCAATAATCGGCCTTCAAAGATGGTCGGCCAAAATTTATTTTTTCTAAATCCCTATGCTATCAGGGATTATTCTAGTGATGTGCCGAGTCGCTTTTTTGGGGGCTCGAGTCGACTCGAGTTGGTTTATACGGTATTCGAATTGTGACTCGATTCTGCGATTCATACCCAGTACTCAAGTTCAAGGTTTGGTATTCGAGTGTAGACTCGAGTCCAGAACTCATGTCCTGGACTCGATTCTAGAAATTTGATCCCAGAACACGAATCGGTTAACGATAGAACTGTTTTTTTTTTAATAGAGTAAACTTTATGAGATTTTTTCTAGTCATATTTTCTTTAAACTTTAAGAGCATTAGATTGAACGTAATAACATAACAAATCAAACGTTTTTAATGAAAATATTTAGAAACGTTACAAAAAATATAGAACATCTAGGATCTAGTAATGAGATCAAGTTCTACTTGTTTTATTACAAAACAAAAAGGGATTTTTTTAAAAGCTATTGCTAAATTACTGAACTTCAGAAATTTGTTCTATTAGTTTTTAACAAACGAATAAAAATATATGTATTAATATTAATTACAATTAAATCAGTACACTAGTTTTACTAAGAAACAATTAAATTCACTTACAGTAACAGCTCACTAACACAAAATGAAGAAATCAAAACAAAAAATTGCAAGTTTAATTTTGTATTAATAAGCGTCACTTCATTGCCAAAGTACACAGAGATCGAGTACGACCGAGTCAACCTAACTCGAATACAAGATTCGAGTCAGTCGGCTCGCATAATACAACCGAGTCAGCGAGTACAAAATCGATTCTTCCTAACTCGAGTACCGGAATCGAGTCCGGCGTATTTGAATCAAAATAAATTGGTATTCGAGTAATCGAATCCAAGGCAAGAATCGAGTCCGATTCGAGTCAAACCGCACTCGGCACATCACTAGATTTTTCAAGAAATGATCAAACTGAGCCCATTATGTGCCTTTGAGATTGCCATAATCAAAAAGACACATATCAAAGGTTTTAAAATGTTAGCAGTTTTGAAAATAGCTTTTATTATGGATAACGAAAAATTGATTTTCCAGATACAAATACCTTCGTTAACGAAAATTCATACACATCACTATAAGTACTTGGGACTTATTACTATCTTTATTTTTTATTTAACATTCTCAGCAATAGTCATAATACTTAAAACTTCTTCGAGTAATGGCATAACTGGTGGATTGGTCAGCATTTTTGCGAAAAATATTGTCCACTCTTATATACCAAATAAAGTTTGCAAACTTCAGTAGGTGCCTAGCCTAGCTGATCATTAGATGAACCTGCCGATCTATAGAAAATAATTCTACGATGCATAAATTATTTTTCTTTGGAAATATTGTGACTGCCACAAACAAAAAGGGTATATACGGCACTAGCCTCACAAAAGTGATCCGCATGAATTGTGGTCCACGACCCTAATCGCTTTAGTCACAACTTGACATGCAAACGACGTACATGTGAACGCCAAAAAGAAATATTGCTAATATTTTGTGTTTATATGATAAAACAATGCCTAAGTGTGTTTTTAAAAAGTTCTCAAATTGCTCAAGAACTAAAAATAAAACGGCATCACTTTTCATTCGTAAGTACTATAAAATAGTTTTTTTGACGTGACAACGTCTTAAATTAGGTTGCGGCTGGGAGTCACTTATGAAAAAGTGTATCGCTCGGTAACGTTACGATGAGTCTCTCGTGTTAAGTTTAAGTTTACATGTACAATGTTTTAGTAAACAAAATATATATCTATAGTTAAAATTTGTGCAATTCTTATTTTCATTCAATTCCTTGTTCCTATTGTGCAATTTAATTATATTCATATCAATAAATATTCTACCGAGAAAAAGACGTTGTCACGTAAAATCTTCGCCCGTAAAACCGACTTTACAGGCAACCATTTTTTTTTAAATTGCTGTTTGTTTTGAATCTTATTCGGTAGTGACGTCGAGGTCGAGTACTGATCGCGTATTTGGTCGGTAGTGCAGTGACGCTGATCTCGCCGTCTCGTTCGCGCTGCCGTTGAAACTTAACGTGCTGTTTCGTTCGGGTCGGTAATGCAGTGACGCGGATCTCGCCGTCCCGTTCGCGCTGCCGTGGGATCAGTTTTTGTTTGATGCAAGTATGAGCGTACCGTATCTACCCTTTTTGTTTTAATCTAAGTAGTTGACAGCTTTTTCCACTCCAAAGGCTATGTTGATGAGGCATGCTAAGTTTCGATGGGTCGCAGGTAGTTGTGTCCGATGGTGTCACTTGGCAGCTTGCAGTTCTTCCAGAGTGGTGCGCTGATCGTGAATGGGCCTTCCCCCGACAAAGTCACTGTTGGAAATAACAATTTGGTCTAAAAAGTCTTTTCGCATTCATCATCATCATCATCAGCCTATTAATGTCCCCACTCCTGGGGCACAGGCCTTTCCTATGGATGGAATAGGGAGATTGGGCCATGACCCACCACGCGGGCCCAGTGCGGATTTGTGGGTGCTAACGACTTCATATGCAGCCGGGACCAACGGCTTAACATCAACGTTTGCAGCTGAACGCGCTAACCACTTGCGCCATCGAGCTTTACGCATTAATTTGGCGAAAAACATCACAGTGTTGTAAAATAATGAAATTGAGCGTGAATGTCGCCTCCGCCTCAGTGGTCAATACCCACGCTTTGTCACTGCTTCAGCCCACCTGGTATTAGGTGTGTGTATGAGTGGCAAAGGTAGCTGATGAGCCTTCATCATCATCAGCCTATTAATGTCCCCACTGCTGGGGCACAGGCCTTCCCGGTGGATGGAATAGGGAGATTGGGCCATGACCCACCACGCGGGCCCAGTGCGGATTGGTGGGTGCTAACGACTGCAGATGCAGCTGGGACCAACGGCTTAACGTGCCTTCCGAAGCACGGAGGAGCTCGATATAGTAATTTTTGGTCACCCATCCAATGACCGACCACTGCGAAAGTTTGCTTAAGTTCAACGATCGCAGCCGAACGCGCCAACCACTTGCGCCATCGAGCTCCTCGCCTAGCCTTATCAGTCTCAGTTTGAATCTATTTTTATTTCCCATACCCTGCAGTGTTTTGACAACCTGGTACGTTACACGGCAGATATGCTACATTGCATCACTACACTGCAAGTGCACTATATTTTTTTTTATGTAATAGGGGGCATACGAGCAGACGGCTCACCTGATGGTAAGTGATCACCGTCGCCCATGGACACTTGCAACACCAGGAGTATCACAAATGCGATGCCGGCCTTTAAGGAAGGAGTACGCTCTTTTTTTGAAGGTTTTTGGGTCGTATCGGTCCGGAAACACTGCTGGCGACAACATATTCCACAGTTTTGTCGTACGTGGTAAAAAATTTCGACAAAAACACACGGTTGTGGAAAGCCATGCATCAAGATGATGGGGATGAAATTTTTGTCGCGATGTACGATGGCGAAATGCAGCAGCTGGAATTAATCCGAACAATTCCTCAGAACACTCCCCGTGATAAATGCGATAGAAGATGCAGAGCGATATTGCATGTACACTAAATAGTGCAGACAAAATCGCGGCTCGCTGCAGATACGTTACAATCCAGATATGCTAGATTGCATCACGACACTGCAGGTGCATTGCATGTACACTATACTGCAGGTACACTACACTGTAGGGCTAATAGGGATGATGACTTATTTTTTTTTCTTCGTTTATCAGGTAGATTATCAAAAAGTATTGGACACGTATTTTTTCTTTTTTCACATAATATAAACATTGCAGAGATATATTGATTTGAAAAGTCGCATGACGTGAAAATTCACAAAAAAGTGACGTCACGAGCCCCTACTCCCAAACTTTGACGCGCTATAACTTTGTCATTTTTTGGTTGATTTCCCCAAAAAAAAAATACGTGTCCATTATTTTTGATCATCTAACTGACGGACTAAATAGAATTTCGTTTACTGTACCCCGTCATCACCCCTATTATTGTCTTACTTTAATCTTCCCAGGATCCCCATAAAAGATATTCATCTGTCTATCATTCTGTTATAGTTTCAATGCTGCAGAAGCCATTTTTTCCCTAAATATGAACTAAAAGGAATTTGAAGGACGTGGTTCATTATTATAGCTATTAACGGGCTTGTTACCATGTACCTTGTTTTTTATGAGTCTCCGATATTTCGGCACTGTTGCAAGCGCCATGATCACGGAGTAACTGAAGTAATTGCGGGTAGATGTTATTAGCAGACATATCGGTCTACCATCTGACGTCGTCTTTTACTGCGCTCGATACCCCTACCATTGGTCACATTCTCACTATTCACTCGCACCTGTTCCCGACACACAATACTCACAGTATCCGATCGCGGAACGACACTTTTTGATTTTTACGGTTTTTGCACATACGAACCACTGGATTCCAGACACTTGACAATTTAAACCCATCCTCACGATTGAAATTTTTGTGTTTGGTTATTTCAATCGCTTCCCTGACCAATCTTGGTATGTAGTGGCGTTCTGTCGAGATGATTTGTGGATTATGGAGCTCAATCCAGTGATTCGGACCCGAATCGATTAAATGTTCCGCGATAGCTGATTTCTGCGTACATGGTAACAATCCCGTTAATAGCTATAATGTTAGTGACCATGGAAGATTAAAACAATATGTGGTTCATTATATTTATTAGGTCCTTGGTCCTCACCCGTCATGTCCGGAACGAGGGTCACGTTGTACAGCCCGTTGTAAAGCGTTAGGGGAACACCGCCGATGTACAGGGAATTCACTCGCAGGGTCGTGCGCGCTTGCTCCACCTCCAGGGTTAAGTTTGCCCCCAAGTACTGTATACCTGGTAAAATTATTTATTTATTTTAAAGTTTATTGACCAAAATACATAGCAAAAAGCGGACTTAAGGCTAAAAGCAATCTCTCCCAGTCAAGCTTTGGGAAAAATTAAAAACCCGAATTATATTAAAAGTTATTCAACGACGAATCGATAAAAAAAAATACGTTCAGATCTCTTCTCGTCTGTTCACTAGGCACTGCACTGAACTGAGAACTAATGCTAATAAGGAAACGCCCTTTTTGCACTTAGCGAAAATTACGAAGCACTAAAAGTCCGGAGTTTGATATCCAAGGAACTATTGCTAAATTACTGATCAAGTTATCAGTAATCTGGCAATAGTTCCTCGAATTACCCGAACCAATATTATGATAATTCGAAAATCACACTGTTTTTCTATCTATTACGTTTCCACTCATGCACCTGAAGTTATCATAATAAAAAGAAATAGGTATTCTGGGGGGTCAAGTAGGGGCGTAAGGGGCTAGGGGGGGTTAGGCCCCCCTAAGGGGTTCGGAGCTGTCAGGGAGAGAGGAGGGTGAGGGGAAGTCGGGGGGCGTCGAAGGAACCCTTCGACCTCACCTCACACACCGCGGAACGTTGAACGAACTCGTGACAACATTATCGTACACTTTTTCTATGATGTCTTTGACGTCACAATTTTTTTTTCGTGCATGCAGCCGATGTTCATCGATTTAAGACGTTATCGCGTCAAAAAGGTAGGCTTTTTTTTTGTCATATGCTTGTTTGTTACTCTTTTGACATATTTTACTATACCTCTGATAGCGAGGCGCGTGGCGTCTGGCGACGTACAGTGAGCGTCATGGGACACTGTCTTCGCCCGTGACGTCACCTCGTCTGTAAATAGATTTTTTACCTGCGTATTAAAAAAAAAGGCCGTGACGTCACCTACCTCTGATCGTGAGGCGCGTGCCGTGTGGGGGCGGCACGGGGCGTCGTATGGTGAGTGCGGCGAGCGAGAGGCGCAGGCCGTGACGTCACCTACCTCTGATCGTGAGGCGCGTGCCGTGTGGGGGCGGCACGGGGCGTCGTATGGTGAGTGCGGCGAGCGAGAGGCGCAGGCCGTGACGTCACCTACCTCTGATCGTGAGGCGCGTGACGTGTGGGGGCGGCACGGGGCGTCGTATGGTGAGTGCGGCGAGCGAGAGGCGCAGGCCGGCGCGGCCCGCGGCGAGGGCCTGCAGGAGGCCGCCCATGCCCGTGAGGAAGTTCACTGCGCCCGACCCGTCCGACTCCTCGCTCCACACCTGGGACAGTGCTAATCAAATCTAGGTATTCACATTAAGTCGTCACTGTCGACCACGGGGTTCATTTCTTAGGTCGAAATTTTTGGAACAGAAGCGGGCAAATACGTGGTGCAATCGTTAGTAGTGTTCGTGTGCCGCTTCTGCCGCTTCGCTGCTACGACGGTACTTATACTCCACTCCACTCCATAACCACTCGAATTTTTAACGACAAAAATGTACAAATACTCTAAAAACAGAATGATAACTATTAAACAAATGACAAATTAAATAAAAAGAATTACATAAGTACCTATTTTAAAAATAAAAATAATTTGAACTTAGAATTCTTCGCGAAAAAAGAAAGAAATGGACTTGAAATATAGCCAGAACGGCAATGTCAGGTAAAGACCTTTTAGTTTAGGAGCGCTTTCTGATATTCAATGTTTTATGAATCTCGTATTTCACGCTGGTCTGGCTCACATCAAAGCAATGTGAAACAATTCATCATTCTGGTCTAGCTGCCCCAAATCCTAAAAGCCTTTGGCTTGCATGCTCCACGTCATCACTACTTTACAGGACGTTCTGATAGTTCAATGTTCTATCCCGTATTTCACCCTGGTGGCTCACTGTGAAAGATTCTCTGACGTAATCAGCGTTGCTCCTGTGGAAGAGTTCACAGGCTGGTCTTGCAGACCCAGCTCCTGGTGGTCTCCGGCGTGCATGCTCTACGTCATCAGGATTTTACGAGATATTCAGACCCATGACTCACCACGCGGCCCCAGTGGTATTGGTGGGTGTTAAAGACTGCTGATGCAGCCGGGACCAACGGTTTAACATGCCTTTCGAAGCACGGAGGAGCTCGAGATAGTAAATTTTTGGTCACCCATCCAATGACCAGCTGCGATAGTCGTTTAACTTCAATGATCGCAGCCGAACGCACTACTACTTGCGCCATCGAGCTCCTCCTTGTTTTGTTAGGTCGCTTACCTTAAAAGGTTCCCTGACGTAATCGGCGTAGCTCCTATGGAACAGTTCATCAGCTCGGTCTTGCTGGCCAGCGTCCTGGCGGCCAATGGCGTGCATGCTCCAAGTCATGGCGGGGCCGTCCTCGCGCGTTACCGCCTCGTAGTACTCCAGGTCATTGGTGCGCGTACTCCTGTAGCAACAACTGTACCGGTTAAATTGAGGACTTGGCGAACTCCGCACCTGATTTACAGTGTGATTTAAGTGTGTGTGGAAACTAAATACTGCAGAGAAATTTGCCTGATTCCAATTTCCCTACAAAGCAGGAGTTCCCAACCAGGGGGGGCGCGCCTCCCAAGGGGGGCATAGAGAGATGTCAAGGGAGGCGGAAAGCGTTTGCATTTTAGAAAGAAAAAATAAAAGAAAGTCGATAGCAACCTGATGATAGCTCTGGTAAAAACAGAACCTAGAATCAACCAACTAGTGCAGAACATGCAATCTCAAGTGTCTCATTTGTCATGAATTACTACCAACTCTTATTTTATTTTAACTTTTTAAGTTTGTTTATTAGAATATAAATAAAAAGTTTTTGAAGTTATACTTCTTTAGCCGCGTTATGAAAAAAATATGAGAGTGAAATTTTAAGATCTATTCTTATTTGCCACACGAATTGATGAAGTCTGTAGTGGTCCCTATTTTAAAAAATAAAACTGGAGATGTGTCATCTAGGTTGAATTACAGGCCAATTACATTGGCAACAGTAGTGGCTAAGGTGTTTGATGGGGTGCTTGATTCTCAACTCAGTAAATATCTAAACATCCACGATCTTCAGTTTGGCTTTAGGCCTGGTCTATCTACGGAAAGTGCAATATGGACTCTCAAGCACGCCATCAGGTACTACACTGATAGAAAGACGCCTGTATATGCCTGTTTTTTGGACCTGTCCAGGGCGTTCGATCTGGTTGACTACAGTATTCTGTGGGATAAATTAAAGGGGTGTGGTTTACCCTCAGACTTAATATCTTTGTTTATGTTCTGGTACGGGAACCAGGCCAATTGTGTAAAATGGGCTGGTGTTCATTCGGAGGAGTACAGATTAGAATGTGGGGTTAGGCAAGGGGGAAGAACTTCACCGAAATTATTTAATCTGTACATCAACGCGCTGATTGAGGAGCTTAGCGGTACACGTGTCGGCTGTCACGTAGGGAGTGTTTGCGTAAATAATATCAGTTACGCGGATGATATGGTGTTGCTGGCTCCTTCGTGGGGGTGCTTTGAGGATGCTTGTGAACATTTGTGAAACATATTCAACCAATCATGGTTTATCTTATAATACCAGTAAAAGTGTATATATGACTTTTAAGGCTCACGGAAAGACTCCTGAAAACGTGCCCTCTGTAAAACTATATGGATCTGATCTCCGTAGAGTTACGCAATTTAAGTATCTAGGTCATATTGTAACAGATACTTTAAAGGATGACACTGACCTTGAAAGGGAGCAAAGCATTGTCTAAGAGGGCAAATATGTTGGCCCGTAGGTTTGCTCGATGTTCTGACACCGTAAAAATCACTCTTTTTAAGGCTTTTTGTACATCTTTCTACTCGAGCAGCCTATGGGTTAATTTTACCCGAAAATCATATGATGTCCTCCGTGTCCAATACAATAATGCCTTCAGGGCACTGCTGCGGCTGCCGCGATATTGTAGTGATTCGGGAATGTTCGCAGATGCGCAGGTCGACAGTTTCCCGGCTATTTTGCGCAAAAAAGCAGGTTCATTGCTACGGCGGGTTCGTGGTAGCCGCAGTAGTGTTGTGAGGGATTTAGTGGCTCGTGGGGACTGTCCACTGATAAATATTTTTGTAAATAGGGTTATATCTGTTTTTAATATAATTTACTAACATAGTATTAAGTATTGTATACTAACACATGGATCTATGTTGTCCGAATAATAAATGATTTGAATGATTTGAATTTAAGATGCGCGCGCATCACTGTAACACAAAAGTAACATAATGAAGTTAGCCGCGGGCGCGTTATGAAAAAATGATGAGAGTGAAATTTCGAGATGCGCGCGCATCACTGTAACACAATAGTAACACCATGAAGTTGGCCGCGGGCGCGTTATGAATGTTAATAATCCACCATTATTAGACATCTGTTCGAAAGGTACTTTGAACGATCCACGGAGCTCCATAAGATGATCGCGTTGTCAAAAACAATGTTGGCACGCTCGTCGCCTCTGATCACTGTTTTCATATTTATAATATTTATCCACATGTTTCTAGTTTCTTTATAGACACAACGTGTTTTAGTTACTTACAAGTGCTAATTACATATGGACTAATAACTTAATTCAGTAGTGATTTTAATTGAATATTTTGAATATTTATTTAATTTTTCAAATTAAAACTGAACTTAATTGACTGTGTTAACTATCCTTTTCCAGTCCTTTTATTATTTAATTGTAATTATTAATTATTTGCATGCAATTAAAAAATATTTTTAATGATGCTAAAGAAGTATAACTTCTCACGCGCGTTCATAAGTTACACGCATCCATGTTTTTTAAGTATCATAGTGTGTGTTTTTTTTGTATTTAATGAAAAAGTAAAGGGGGGCATGAAAATATATTTTATAGTCCGGGAAGCCTGAACAAAAAAAAGGCTGGGAAACCCTGCCTGTTGTATGTTTTGAACGATTCAAAAGAGTTAAAGTAGTTACTATATCCAATATGAATAAAGTGACTGACGATTGATTAATGCAATTTTAGGTGCTACTTTTTTGGTTTTTTTCAATGGAGAAGCTCCAGTTGCAGTACGCGCTAGTTCTGAGATCTTATAAGTGAAGCAACTTTCGCAATGGTCGGTGACTAAAACTTTATTATCTCCGTATTTCGAAAAGCACGCCAAGCCGATTGATTCCGACTGCAGTATCAGTCGTGGGTTGGTTCATGTCCTGTTCTCCAATCCAATTTGTAGAAAAGGCCTGTGCCCAGATAGCCCGGTCAATTTAGACATAAAAATAGGGATCAAATAACAAAAACCCCGACAGAGCCAAATATTGGTAGAGACCTTTGTTTTACCCTTACGAATAAAAATTTAAAAGTCCCCATTATTATGTAGTACGTGACTCTCACTATCACGATATCTCAGGAACGGTGATACTTAGAGAAAATATCATAAGAACCATTTTTGTAGAGAATTTTGAGATCTACAATTTTAGTCTGAGGTATTTTTTGATTAAACTTACCGTTTTTGAGAAAAAGTCATAAAACCTAAAATTTTGACATTTGGCCCCGCATAACTTTTGAAGCTCGCATGGGTTTGATGGGGACTTTAAAATTTTTATTCATAAGGGTAAAACAAAGGTCTCCACCAATATTTGGCTCTGTCGGGGTTTTTGTTATTTGAATTGTCTAAATTGACCGGACTAAGAATGAGGATGACAAATTACAATCTACTATATAAAAATAAGTCGGGTTTTCCTTCCTGACGCTATAACTCCAGAACGCACGAACCGATTTCCACGGTTTTGCATTCGTTGGAAAGGTCTCGGGCTCCGTGAGGTTTATAGCAAAGAAAATTCAGGAAAAATTAAAAAAAAACTTCTTTTAATCACCAAACGAAATGTTACATAAAACGAAGCCATCTGGTGGCGAAACGGAGTTCGCCGGGTTTGCTAGTTTTATATAAAACAGGCGCTCTTTCTCCAGACCACCGATACTAAAATCTTTACTGTGTCCTTCTTTTTAGGAGACACTCGAAATTCTTTGGATAACTTTTTAAAAGCTCTTACTTAAACACGTCTCTGACAGGATCTGATTGGTTGTGGTTGCGACGAGGGTTCTCTCGCCAGTCTTCCCCACAAAGATTATCTATACGGTGTGCGTAGATGTTGTCTTATTTAGCCCTAATAGGTTTTATAAGGATCGCTCACCAGGTTTTCCAAAGCAAAACAGTATGAAGGGAGTGTTGTAAATGTGGACTGTTCACTGGTTCATGGGGTACTGCAGCGGGTACCCGAGCAGCACGGCGTCGGCCTTTTTTTTTTAAAAATGTATTATATCCACGACAATGACCAACGCCACGTTGGTTTGCTGTTAACAAACCCTCGCGACGCCGGTAATTGCGTGGTGCATTCGGCAAGCGGCGAGCCGCCCGAGGGCTGCTAGTCGGTGCGGGTATACTTTGACGTGCCCTCACGCAAGCGTGGCATACGTCAAACTACCCCGCCCCCGAACAGCAGCCCGGTCCGCACCTGCTTTAGCCGATCCTGGGCTTCTCCGTTCACAGCGTCGCCTGACTAGTCTCACGGACCGCAGTCCGAGCGGCTAGCCAGCCGACCAGCTCCCGTACCTACCAGGTAAACCAACTCCCCGATCTACCCCTCACCCTCCAGGCGTAACTGCGGGGTCCAGTTATGAGTCGCCGCTTGTTACGCCTGGAGCACGGCGTCGGTCTGCTTGACGCGGTCGCCGCGCCGGTAGCCGCTGTACTCGGGGTGGTAGTCGTTGAACACTGTCATATAGAAGACCAAATATATCATTCACTCTATAAGAACGGTTGATCTGCCAAGTGAGGAATCTCTATCAATTACTGCACATACCTGTTGGGGTACAAACTCTTGCTGTTGTTCGTCCATCGAGCGAGTTAATGAAATTAAATATCTTGGAGTTTTGCTGGACAGCAATTTATCTTTTAAACTCCATATCAATGTCCTTGCTGCAAGAATTCGCAAACTGATCTATATTTTCAAGTCACTTAGGACAGTAACTGATTCATCACTCCTCAAATCCATTTACTTCTCTCTTTGTCAATCCTTGATTCTGTATTGCATTACATCCTGGGGTGGCGTTCCTAAGACAACTATACTCCCACTGGAGCGTGCCCAACGCGCAGTTCTAAAAGTAGCTACATTCAAGCCGTTTCTGTTTCCTACCGATGCCTTATACTCATTCTGCGAAGTTTTATCAGTACGTAAATTATTCATCTTATATACATTAATACACCAACATTCCAAACTACCTTTAGATCCTTATAAAGGAGAGGTTCGTCGCAACAAATTGATTTTCAAGAGTAAACTATTTAATAAATCTTTTAGCAAACGATTTCTACTTTTTCTAGGTCCTTTTATTTATAATAATGTAAACCGGAGGTTGAATATATATTCACTAAATTATTGTAATCTAAAACGCATACTCACTCAATTTCTTCTTGCACTGACTTATGAAGAAACTGAGAAGATGTTACTACACATGACTTGATTCCTTACTCGTCTTGCATGAAAATTAATTTACTACAAAATAAAACTAAATCTCTAATTCTTGTTAAAAAAGTTTTTTTTTTGTTTGTTAATGTAACTTAAATATTCGTTTTTCATTTAAAATCATATTTTCTAATCAATGTGGTATCTTGTAAATTTACTTTATTGTGTCACTGGAAGAGAATGGGTACTTAAGTCACAGGGTTTTCCTATTTTAAGTACCCACAGATCCTTAGTTTTAAAATATCCTGTGCCTGTTATTTGTAAAACCATATTGTATAAAAAATTTGGGAATAAATTATTATTATTATTATTATATCAGTGTAGAGGCTGTATGTGGATAGCTCACTGGTTCATGGGGTACTGCAGCGGGTACCCGAGCAGCACGGCGTCCGCCTGCTTGACGCGGTCGCCGCGCCGGTAGCCGCTGTACTCGGGGTGGTAGTCGGCGCGCTGGTCCCAGGGTAACGCCAGGCTCCACGCGATGTCCGCCCACTGATCAGCGTCGCGGGACCTGTAGTACTCCGCGCACACGCATGACGCATATCTGTGCAGTAAGAATAGCAGTTAGATACCTAATCAAAAAATAATGAACTTTTTTGATCATTGCCCAGTAACAAATGTAGGCGTTACCTGCTGATTTTTGTAAATATAGCTTTTATTCTAAATTATGTAATGGAAGGTGACTTCGGAATTATCTCTTTAAGTCATTTTCCAACTTGACGACTCTGTATATAATAATACAGGGAGAAACTAACATCCCTTGCTGAGTTTCTTGCCGGTTCTTCACAGTACAAGGTCTCCCGCCGTAGATTTGCGAACCGATGGCGTAGCTTCTCGACTTTCACAAGTGCTTGTAACAGCCTATACTGAATAAATGGTTTTTGATTTTGACTTTTATTCGAGTAAAACAATTAAAAAGATGATTTCAATAAAGTCAAGATTTAACAAATTGACATTCCCTTAATTTTACAAAAAGAAGTTATATGAGTATAAAGCTTATAGAAAAAAATATATTAATATTTATACGTGGGACACTCAGAAAGTTTTGAGAAACCAAAAACTAACTTCTATGAAAAAAATATATTTATTAAATCTTTTCTTAGAATTCTCCACCAGCCTCTATATAAAATTTCACGCGTCTGATCCAATTTTCAAATCATTTATCCAATCCTCCGCAGACACCTTCTCAAACGCTGCTAGCGCTTCTTCCGGCGATGAAAACTGTATCCCTTTGAGCTGATTTTTATTTTAGGGAATAAAAAGAAGACACACATAGCCGAATCAGGACTGTAAGGAGGGTGTCCCAAGACTCTAGACTAGTGTGGAGTCCAGGAAGTCCTTTGTTTTGATCGCAGAGTGCGCGGGCGCGATGTCGTGGTAAAGAAGGACCTCGCGGAGCCCGGTCGTAATTCGCTTGTTGCTCATTGCAGAAAAAACTTCTGGCAGGCATTTTGTACTATAACATTCGGCGTTGATGCAGCTTTGGTCTTGAAGTAGAATTGAAATTAGATACACGGGGTACAAGTGAAGAAACTAGCGATCAAAATTTTCCCTGTGCTCCTAGATCGCTTCACTTTCGTAGGCGTTGGTTCATTTGGAAACAGCCAAACTGTCTACGGACGCTTTGTTTTTTGGATCTTATTGATAAATCCAGGATTCGTCACCTGTCACAATATCGTTAACGTGCCGTGAGGAGCCTGCATCAAATTTTTGTATCATATCAGTGCACCAATCCACACGGGCCTGCTTCTGAGCTTCGGTGAGGTTGTGCGGCACCCAGCGGGAAACTATCCTCCTTACGCAATGGTGCTCGTGCAAAATCTTGTGAACACTTGCTGAACCAATGTGCAGAGTATGCTGAATCTCTTCGTACGTAATTCGTCTGTTTTCTTGAATTATTTTTTTTACTGCCAGCACACTTTCTTCGGTGACAGCCGTCGTAGGACGACCACTCCTTTGTTCATCCCCCAAAGTAAGACGACCGCGTTTGAACTCGCTACACCAGCGGTTGATGGTTGCGTTTGAAGGTCCTTCATCCATAAAAGCTGTTCGAAATCGATCAAATGACTCATCAGGTTTAAGGCCACATTTAAAATCGTAAAAAATCATAGCACGAAAATGTTCTCGTTGCAAATCAATTTTTAATGTAACAGTGGTATTTTTACTTTTTAAATAATCGAAGTTTTCAAAATAAGTGGCCAGTGTCTTATACATAAAAACTGTTTTTCGCAAAACTTTCTGAGTGGCCTGGTATAGTGATAATAAAATACCTTATTCTTACTTACTGGGCCAAATATAAGGAGTAGCCGGCGACTACGTTGGTGAATACAGAATTGGTGACATTTGCATGGTCTTCGTCAGGACCCATCACATCTGCCGATGCATAGACGTATATACAACATCTTCATAAAGATAAAGCAAACAAGCATTGTACAATTCTTACATTTATTAGGTATATTACGTTTTTTAAACATAACTGAAAGGGTCACTATCCGAGCTATTTCTGAGTTGAAAATCGATATCAACACATGTTTTCAGTTTTTGATGTCATCTTTCAATTGACGACATTGTATGAACTGAGTTTCTTGCCGGTTCTTCTCAGTACAAGGTCTCCCGCCGTATATTTACGAACTGATGACTTAGCGTTTGACTTTCACAAGAGCTTGTAACAGCCTAGACTGAATAAATGAGTTTGTGTTTGAATTTGACGGTATATCTCCTAGGACAGAATTGATAATTTCGTACTACGTAATGAATAAAAGCATAATTTAATTTGTTAAAATGACAAACTCTCTATCTTATGCAAATATTATTTCAATAAGTACATTTATTATGATTTTTTATGAAATTAAAATAGTCCCATTTTTTTTTTCATTAAAGGATTTCAAAAGATTAAATATATTGGGAAAAACATAGGTATTCAAAAATTTAATTTCGCTAATTTAGACCACCTTAAACTGATAAAATCACAAGAATAGGGGTGATGACGGGGTACAGTAAACGAAATTCTATTTAGTTCGTCAGGTATGATCAAAAAATAATGGACACGTATTTTTTCTTTGGGCAATCAACCAAAAAATGACAAAGTTATAGCGCGTCAAAGTTTGGGTGTAGGGGCTCGTGACGTCACTTTTGAGTGAATTTTCACTTTCGAGTATAAGTGTACTCAAACGTGACGTCATGCGACTTTTCAAATCAATATATCTCTGCAATGTTTATATTATGTGAAAAAAGAAAAAATACGTGTCCAATACTTTTTGATAATCAACCTGATAAACGAAGAAAAAAAATTAGTCAGCATCCCTATTTCTGACAGTCATGAGTAACAAAGTTTTCTTACTTGATATGTCATACAAGCCAGTAGTGTAGTTGATGATAGCCCGTGACGCCCAAAAATCAGCTATATTTGTTATGATGGAACAGCCGCCATGCTGAAACATTACACAGGTCTTGTCAATGATTCGTATCAAACACTTTACTAACTTTAGCAGTACATTATTAAAAAATAATCTCTACTTCTTTTAGTGACTATTTTCCTTCTATTATGAGGATGAGGAGGCCCCTATTCACTAAAAACCCAACAGTGCTTCCTCGCCTACCGGAGTAGGTTTCTTGGGATCCGGAGACTCCCCACGTTACCCCTGGCAGGGGTTCATCCTCCTCCTGGTGGTCAGGGGGATATCCGGATATAGTTTATGACCTGAATTGAGAAAAATGATACTTTTATCCCGGAAAAGTATAAGGTTGCTGAAGGATTTTCAAAAAACTAAAGTTAACCTGGACGAAGTCACGTGCAGCCGCTATTAAGTAATACTCCTTCACATTTCATATTAGGCCACTCTATGTGCATCTGTTTTTAAGTAAGGCACACCATATTGTAAGCTTGAGTTTAAGTTAATAAAGTGCGGAAATAGCCGCAGAAAATGTGCTATTTCAGTTATGTTCAGCTTAAACCCAATAACTCGCCGTGGCTGTGTAGCCCTGGAACCATACTCACCAATAGAAACAATCAACACTAAAAATTTTCTTCTGTCAGTCAGCCTTAAAAATATCCTAATTTTGACGCCAGTCCTCGTACTGACTGCTGGCGAAGAAGACGCAGCTTCTGATGTGCTGCAGGTACTGAGCCCGCTCTAGGCAGCATGCACTGGTGGTGGCAGATGATACTTTGAGCCAGTCCTCTTTCCTGATGGCCGCCAGATACTGATAGACACGTGGACCCAAACCAGGGCTGTTGTGTGTGCATACACCGGGGAGGTGAAAAGCTGCCCATTGCATTTTCAATACCATCGTCCAGGGGATGTGACCTCGTGTGTCCGGAGCGCCCGTTGGTGTATGGTTACCGCATGGCCAGTTTACATGGATAAACCGGGTAATATTAACACATTTTGTAAACCCATTTGATGTAAGCAATTTAACGTATAACCTTTAATTTAATTTAATATCTTTTGGTCGAGTAATTTGTACTTGCATACTTTTATAAAAAGAAATAAATGGAAGTGAACATTTAGTGTGGACATTTTTATTTCATTCTGAAATCGTTTGCTACTGTGTGCATGGCGCCTCATAATTATTTTTTGCACACTCCAGGCACGGTCAAAATAACACCCGCTCCCTGTTAACTTGCTCAACACCTAGCCGACTGTTGCAAAATTAGCCGTAACCAACAAAAACCCATAACACGTGCTGCTCGTACTGCGTCACCTGCGGGCAGCAGTGACGTCACTAGTGGTAGCAGATGATACCTTGAGCCAGTCCTCGTCCCTGGTGGCGGCCAGGTACTGTCTGCTGGCGAAGGAAATGCAGCCGCTGATGTGCTGCTCGTACTCAGCTACCTCCGGGCAGCACGGTGAAGACACTTCCACGCCTGTGAAGGCGCTCTCCCACGGATACCTGCAAAATTATCGTCTATCGGTTTGTCTTTTTTTTTAAATAGGGGCGATGACGGGGTACAGTAAACGAAATTCTATGTAGTCCGTCAGTTAGATGATCAAAAAATAATGGACACGTATTTTTTCTTTGGGCAATCAACCAAAAATAACAAAGTTATAGCGCGTCAAAGTTTGGGAGTAGGGGCTCGTGACGTCACTTTTGAGTGAAAATTGTACTTGTTTAATTGTAAAACGTGACGTCATGCGAATTTTCAAATCAATATATCTCTGCAATGTTTATATTATCTGAAAAAAGAAAAAATACGTGTCCAATACTCTTTGATAATCTACCTCATCCCTATTATGGATTGTATGTTTAGCAGTATTTAGAATGAATTCATCGGCTATGATAATGCTTCTGTAGTTGGCAGATTACCTGTATCCCTTATACCCAGAGCTTCGGGAATTGTAAGCCGCCACATAGGCTGTGTCTAGCCGATACTGTAGTAACTCCCGCGCAAACTTAGGATACAGCATCAGAATTGTTGGGAACATCCAAATTTCTGTGTCCCAAAAATTGTGACCTAGAATATAACAATTGGTCAAAAAAATAACAAAACAGATATTATGCTGACAATACTAGGACAGATAAGGAAAAAGATAAATTTAAATTTACCATTATAGTCTTCGTCGTTTCCTCTTGCTAGACTACCAGGACTAAGTCCAAAAAATCTCTCCAATGGCTGGTACGATTTCTCCGAAGGCAACGAGCTGAGTAAGTAGTACCATATGCCGTTGACTATTTTAGACTGTAACGGAAGTAAAAACTATGTAAGTATTCATTTGGAAACTAAAATAAATACAAAATAAATAAACAGTAAAAACAACAATATAGAAGAAAGAAAGAAAGAAAGAAAATACATTTATTTTGACACAAACAACGAGACAGCAGATACAAGATTTTGAGAACAAAAAATACAAGAAAAAGAAAAATTATCGTAAACAAACAACACAAAAAAGTAACACACACTAATAACTAATAATAACTGTCGTTACAACTATGATTTATTCTGTTGCTATCTCGCGGCTTCGCCAAAACAGGTTGTCAATTCAACATGTTGTCAGGTTTGTGGGACCTGACGCTGATTTTCAATTGACACCTATAGTTCTCTTGACAACTGACTATCGGCATAACAATATAGGAATAGAAATACTAACAAGCTTCATATTTCCTTCTATATCAATTCCGGCGCTGTAATACAACTTGTGCCACGGCTCCACGTGTTTCCTAAACAGCTCCTCGCCATCTTCCTGTAATACTGTTCACGTGAAAAGAGTTTGTAAATAATTTAACGGCATGCTAAAATGCACTCCCTGCAAAAATGATAACGTTATACTTTTAGCAGCTATAGGTACACATTTAATAAAAAAATATAATTAAAGACTTCCATCAAAGTGCATCCTCTCCAAATGAGCTATTTAGCGTTTATGATGGTCGGGACATTTAACTTAGATAATGTAAAAGGTACATTGATTCACAAAAGTAATGAGTTACTGTTGGGCGCCTCGAACCACACAAACAAAACTCATAGGAATTAATAAAAAGTATTTACTCGCTACATTGAGGAGCTCGATAGCGATAGCGTTCTGCTGCCATTGGATGGGTGACCAAAAATGTACAATCTCGAGCTCTTCCGTGGTTCGGAGGATGCATTAAGCCATTGGGCCCGGCTGCATCTGCAGTCGTTAGCCACCCGCCAATCCGCATTGGGCTCGCGTGGTTGGTCATGGCCGAATCTCCCTATTCCATCCATATTAAAGGCCTGTTGGGAGATACATCCACTGCTGGGAGTGGGGTCTTTAAAAGACTGATGATGATGACTCGTATTATTGGGATATAATAATACAAACCTTTCAGAAGCTCAGTTCTCGCAACTGTTCTGTTTTTATCAGCCGTCATGGCGAACGTGAACACCCTGGAGCCATGCTGCGGAACCACCAAGTGGTCCGGCACTGAAGTCCAATAGACGCAGACAACCGTCGGCAGAGGCTGGAACATCGGCTCTTCCACCTCCTTGGTATCCCCGCATCTGCTCCACACGATACGACCATCTACCACTTCGGGAACTGGTGTCTGGAAATCTATGTCTTCGCTGTCTGCTCCAGGAATGAGCTGCACGGCTATCCAAATCTCATGGTGGATGAAGTTTGGATCTATAAAATGGATGGAGATTAACTTGATAAATAAGACAAAGAACTTCCTTATGACCTAACTATTTATATTGATATTAATTATTATCCTTTAGTCATTAGTTTTATTGAGTGTAATAATGAGGAATGGGTGGCACAACCGCTTAGTGCGTTAAGTCTGTGGAAGTTACAATTTTTTCGATGACCGATTATAAGATGGGTGACCAAAAAGCAATAAACCGTTGCTCAAAAGTGCATCTGCAAACGTTAGCGACCACCAATTCGCAGGACAACAATAAAGTTCCTACGATATTTTTCATAGCAAAATGACATTTTCAATTCATACCTGCGTGCGGCTTGGCAACGACTTCAATCTGGTTAACAATAGTTCTCGTATAGAATTTATGTGCGTATATTCTCTGAGTAACGATAGATCTATCTCTATCAACTCTCACTTTGAAGACGGCATCTCTTGTGTTCAAGCTGTAGATGGGCTTGAAAGGGAAATGCGTTAATGTGGAGTTGAGGCGTACGTTGGCGTATGCAGGGATGCGGGCGCGATGGCTTCTGCCCGTGCGGCCGTTGTAGAGGCCGTTCATGTACACAGTGTCGCTGAACACATTGGTGGCTACGTGGCCGTTGCCTATCGATGCCATGAACCGCTCATCAGCTGGTAATCTGGAAATAAAATTATGATTTGATCGACTGCTTGATTGGGAGCCAAAGGATAATATCACCAGTGATTACTTTCTCTATGCGATCATATGGAATCTCTTATCTATTAGACAAGTCCGTCCGTCCGTGGTGCTGTTTCAGCGGCCAAACCGTAAGAGATAGATATAGAGAATGTTTAAGTTATAAGTTAAGAATAGTCTAATAAGACTACAAACCGGATGTGAGTAACGTAGCACTTCCGGTCTTCGAGAAATCACGTGATTTCTATTTCAAAGGAAACCACACAAAGGAAATCTACGAAGTTCTCATTTTTTTTTTTTTGGTGAACATTTGGTTTACTGGTTTGCTAGTTCACAACTGTTTTGATTAGGTAGTTCAATGTTCTTTTGGCAGCAAGGAACAACTAGCGTAAAACACGACATTCACACGGAACAAAACCCGAAGGATTAACCTTCTAAATAATATTTTAGTGATTTGTTTTTTAGTGATTGTCATGATTTATTTATTTTCATTTTATTTTATTTATTAGGTTTACCAGCAATTGTTACAAAAATACATTGCGAAATATTACAGCGCAAATCTCAGCGCAATAAAAGCTTTTTAAGAATCCATCGTAAAAAGCCATTAAGAATGCAATGCTTTAGTCTGGTCGCCACAAGAAGCGAAATATAAATTAATGTTAGAACGCATCCAGAACATATTCGTGAGATATTTTTTTTTTGAAGCAGTATGGTGTGCATCCAGGCTATCCACTTTTGTACCCTACTCTGTTCACACTAGGCATGACTTATATATTCAAAGTGATTCGTGGTAAACTAAGGAACTCAGAGATTCTTCACACAGTCCAGTTGCGTATGCCCAACGAGTACGGGGCAACGGAGGCAGCCCCTCCTGTTGCGTGTGCCGCGCGCGACATTGACTTGTTTCAATGCACATTGAATGAATTCACACTGGCCTCTTATTGTATACTATCATAAATATGTTTATTTTGCTGTCGTGTTTGTGCTTTTTTTATTTCTTAGTTTTGTATAATAATTGGTTGTATTGTAACTGCTCTATTGTATTAGGTTATACCAGTAATGATAGATGTAAGTGATTATTATTATTAAATAAATAAATTAAATAAATACTATAGCTAAATGCACAAATTATTTAAGTTAAACACCACATGTAAAGTAAATAATTACCGGTAACATTAAAAGAACACCAAAAATAATCACAAAAGGACATCGGTCAACTCCCATAAATAGTTTCATTTCAATTTAAATGGTTGCGTCTAGAAATTGATTTGGCCGATGTCCATTCTGCCAATCTCTCTTTATATAAAAACAACATACTACAACGTGGTCAATTACAAATGCTGACGAAATGTATTAAGACTAACAGCATTAAATATCAATGGACTTATCGAAAGAATTAAGAAGTCTACTTACTCTAGGGACAATCGAACTTGAACTCAATACTGTCGTGCGAAGAGGTGGAACTAATTATAATTTTTATTATTTTAAAGCATGTAACTGCTTGATGTTTAAATGTAAAGAAAATATAACTAGAAAAAATTCCATACCAGGCAGCAGACGGGACTCGAACCCGCACCCTTCGCAATCCGGGCGTATGCACTGACCAATTATGCTACCGCGGCTCTCACGGACCGCGTCGAAATTCTTCTAGCCCGTGAGGGCCGCGGTAGCATAATTGGTCAGTGCATTCGCCTGGATTGCGAAGGGTTCGAGTCCCGTCTGCTGCCTGGTCCGCGTGGATTTTTTTCTAGTTATATTTTCTTTAGGTGTAACTAATGTTTTTATTTGAATTCTGGGTATTCTACGTGGTACATTAAATCTAAAGTAAATAAGAAGGCCAGGGCAATCTATTTTATTGCAAAATAATTAATTGCAGTACTATAATCCTACGATTTTCTAATGAAGTATAACTAAAATGTTTTAATCTATCTTTGTATGAAAATCCTTTCCTACATCCAAAATTTAAAAAAATCTAAATTCAATATCGTTTATTCAGTCTAGGCTGTTACAAGCAGTAGTAAATGTCGAAAAGCTACGCCATCGGTTCGTAAATCTACGGCGGGAGACCTTGTACTGAGAAGAACCGGCAAGAAACTCAGCAAGGGCTGGTTTTTCCCCCGTCGTCAAATTGAAAAATGACTTCAATATGAGCTAAATTTATTTGTTACTGTAAGCTAAATGCCAACGATATCTCTTCTGAATACGTTCCAACCTCAGAGAGTGGCATGCATAGTGTGGTCGCCATACAACACTGCAGTATTCCATAATGCTTAAGACAAATGAATTGTACATTGTACAGCAGCCTTCTTGTCTGCAACCTGCAATATTCCCCGCCTACTCTCATAATAAATCCAAGCATGCGAGACGATCTTAGAATAATGTTTTCTAAATTAGCATAAAAAGTTAACTTTTTGTCAAAAACCACACCTAAATCTTTTATGTGGTCTTGTATAAATGTGTAATTAATATAATAATTAGGTTGTACAGTACGATGTCATGATATTACCTATTGTACGTATATAATTTATCGCCTACACTACAAATCATTTCCTAATCAAATGAAATCAAATCAGCAGTAACTAATCAAATGAAATCGTTTTTATTAACAAGAATATATGTCCTATAATGTCCGATAATGAAGATTCGTGTGATTGCTATAAATTTTATAAAGGCGTTTTGTACACTTTGATTACTGTTACTAATCGCTACTAGATATGTTATTATGCGTTTATTTTTGCAATTGAGCTCGGTACGATTACGGGACGAATGGCATTTTAGGCTGGTTTCACAGCTATCCGGGAGACCCGTACGGGCTGTCAGTACGGGCGCCAGGAGCGGGAGTACATGTTATGCCGGCGCCAGACATGTGTTCAAATATGTGATCACATAAGTGTTCAAATGTGTGGCACGGGCATTTGATACTATTGTCACATATGTGAACACTTAAGTGCGCTTTGCCGTTCGGTGTCGGTTTTTCAGCGCACATCAAAGGGATCAAAGTCCAATGTTTGTGTGCCTGCCACACCTGTGCGAAGCCCAGTTGCGCGAGCGTCGCCGTAGAGAGCTGTCGTGCGCATACAGAAAGTAACACTCCGTTTTGTCGTGCGTAAACAAACTAACGATGGAGTGGAGTAACGAGAGCGTTTTCGAGTTTATAGAGTTAATACAAGGAGAGCCAAATATATGGGATCCGAAACGTAAAGGCGCTGGAACATCGTTTCACAGCGACGCGGATTGGTGCGCACGCGGTCAGCTGCGGGTAGAGCCCGTATAACGCCACCCCCGGACCCGCCCGCATACTGCCACGATCTTGTCGCAGCTCATTCATCGTTTCACAGCGACGCAGAACGCCCGTGCTCCGCAGTACAATGTAAATTGTTTATGGGATCACTCAAATGTAAATTATTAAAACAAAGATGCTCGGGCTCGGGTGTGGGAGGATATTTGTGATGATATGTATGAAGGTGTGCCGCAAGAAGAAAAACCAAAGCTTGGTGAGTAGAAGTTTAGTTCTATTAAAAAGAAATAAGTTGGCAGCGTCTATCATGACATCCAACATAGGTATGCTTTAAAATCGATAGATTGATTTATTCTTTTTCAATTTTAATATTAATAATAGATACAGAGTCTGATAATCAAATGCAGACATAGGTTGTTGAAATAATAAATAATTTTTAAAACGTTTGCATTCAGTTTTTAACCGACTGTCTCCCACTAGCAACCGTATCGTACTGAACCCACGTTTCAGAGCACTGCGGGCGTGACCCGTACGGCTCTTTCGCGCACGGAAAGCCCGTACGGGTTTCCCGGATAGCTGTGAAACCAGCCTTATTGCGGTACCACGAAATTAACGGAACCCGATTTAACTTCAATCGAGATACCTATAAACGCGAATTGGGGCCAATTCGTTGCAACGGTATCAAATGAGATTCCGAATGTGGAGCGGCAGGTCTGCTCTACTATACCGTCCCATATTTTATCAAATTACGTTTGCATCGGAAATGTCCAATAAAACTACCAAAGCAGAGGATCTTCAAAGTGTACCTCCCACCTGCTACTTACTTCAAAAAAGATAAAGAATAGTAGGTACATTAGCTACTATAAGACTTATTTACTGTATGAAATATTATTTTTTTAAAAATAAAAAATTTGACATTTAAGTATTTATTGAACAGGTATAGAGTAAATTTTCTCAATAACGGTTACCGACCCGAATGTTACAGTACCAGGAGGCCTACTCTAATTCAACGAGAAACGAAATTTCGATCGAAATTTCGCACTTCGCTTACTATATTTCTGGTTTGTTTTTAATTATAATGATATTCGGGGTATTTAATATCGTTGGATAGTCGTCGTCGGAATATAGATTAAGTTGTAGATTTTCTAAGCCTACTCAAAGAAAGCTTCAATTTGATAGTTTATCGTTAAAATTAAAAAAGGATATTTGACAGTATTAAAAATAAAGTGCCAATTGTTAACATCTGTGTTTAGAATGAATATTGGCAGGGATTTTTACTATTTTTACAAAAAAAATATTCATAATTTTACTAAAAACCCACGAAAAAGATAATAGTTTTCTTATCTATTGTCACTTGACCCAAAAGGCTTGGGATTGGCGGAGCCTAAATTGACGTCACACGCAAGTAAACTTCCGGTTAAAGTGACATTACATTGTATCGTTTAATAACAGACATGTGACGTCACACACTAGTAAGACGCCATATTGTCCAGAGAAACGTTTTCGCGGCAACTTGAAAATTGAGTTTTTGACATGTTTTTTTTTACTGAAATATACAACAGAATTATGAATATCCACTTTTTACGGACTCCATAAACATTAGTCAATAACATGAGATCTTTTTATAAAACTTGTCAAATACCCTATTGACGAAATTAAATTTCGTTTGAAATTCGATATCGAAAGTTCGTTTCGGTGAAAGAGAGTAGACCCCCAGCTTTGATTTTAGATTACTGGATTATTAT